ACCCGCCGGAGCCAAGAAGGTGAGTTTCCCCAAGTCCGCGACTACTCAGCCCTCAGGCTGCGGGGCTCCCGGCGCCGGGGGGCAAAGCCCGCTGGAGCCCGGCCGGCGCTGCGGCCGCGGCAAGGCACCTGGGCGGCTTCGGCCTCGGTTTATGGGATCGCGAGGCCGGGCGGCGACAGGCCTTGGTGTGCGGACAAGATGGCAAACCTGGGTACCATTTGTGGAGCCCTGACTCCGAGCGGCCCTGCGCCCGGTGCTTTGAGCACATTATCTCTTCATCGTCACAACTGTTCCCCTTACACGCTTGAGGAAACCGAGGCCCCAGAGTCAGAGGACGAACGCGGAGTGGAGCGGGGATGCGCGCCTTCAGACCCAGAGGCCACACTCCCATCCTCTCCCCCGACCGGCCGCACCCACGGCGGCCGCACCCACAGCACTCGCTCTCCTGCTCCAGAGCTCCTTGCCCTTGGGTTCCGGAAGGCCGCAGTCTGGCTGTCCCAGTTGCCGGCTGGCCTGAAACCACACCTGGCTCGGGCACCCAGACCCTCAATGGGGTGTGGAGGGAGGGGGCTTGAGGACCCCTTTGTCTCATCCCACCTGGCTGCCCCCCCGTCTCCAGCCCCTTTCCAGGTCTGGTCACCAGCTCTTGGCTTTGTTCACCCATTTCTACACCTGGTGTGTGAGTGGTGGGAAGAAGGGGTGACAAAATAAAATTAGGAAGGCCATGAACTTGGACGCAGGACTTGTCCAGAACCTCTCAAAGCGGTCCACCTGAGCCCTGAAATTCATAAGAGACGGAAGAGAACAATGGGGTGATTTGGGCATGGAAAAGAAATGTGTGCCACCGACTGATTTATACTAAAAAGTTAGGAACAAACAGGACTCCCTACAGTAGCGGGCTCCCTAAATAAATTAAGGTTCATCCACTTAATAAGTGTTAGCCCACTAAGGAGCTAAGTATGGAAGCAGGCAAAGTGCTTTGGCAATGTGTTAATTTACAAAAGGAGATATATCACACTGATTGCAAATATATATAGAGAGAGAGAGTGGCCAGATTATTATGACCACCCCATCAGTACAATAAAGTGAATTAGTTATGCACATAATAATAATAAAACCTTGAGCGTATTTGCTTAGGAAGTTTTCAATATTCAGTATTTTTGGAAGTGTCAATGAAGTACTGTTGGGGTGGTTATAATAATCTGGCCGGTCATAATAATCTGGCCACTCAGTGTATATATACTTATACACACTGTAAGGAAGGACACAATAATAGTAGTAGTTATATAAGATGAGGAATATGGGTTCAAAAACTTAAAATCATTTTGGACATGTTTTCCTGATTATAAAAGTAAAATATGGGCACTGAAGAAAATGGGGGTAATAAAAACTTAAAGAAGCAAAGAACATTGTGCTGATTTCTTTCTCTAAACTTTCTTTACCATTGTGTTCACTTTTACAGCTCATTTTGTTAAGGTTTTGAAAATATGCCGTCTCTGTTTAGTTTCTTCCTGGCATCTACTCTTGCAACACCAAGCTTATGATATACTAATCCATGTTAATGGGTCTCTGGGAGTGAAAATCAAAATGTTAGTGGGAAGGAATTATCCCATTTCTCTTCTCAGCTAACAGGTGCATCTTGAGAGTTTATTTAATTGCCACAGAGGGCACCTCCAACTGTATCTTTAATCCAAAGGAGCAATCCAAAAATGCAGTGGCATTTTTCAGGCATAAGGGGTGATATTTTAGGCAGACTGGGTCTCTGGCTGCCTCCTGCCACAGGGAGCAGTTGGTGGACTCCTTTGGGTATGAATAGAGGTGCCCTGAAGCCAGGTCCTAAGTCCTGACGTCCACATACTGATACCTGCAGAAAGGGGGTGTAACTGTCTCAGAGTCATCGTCAGGTCCCAGGTGGGATCACTCCAAACTGAAAGGGAGGATGGAATGAAAATATAAATGTGCTGTAAGTTTACAGTGTTCTTTATTTTACACGGTCCTATCATTCTCAAACTATCTTTACATCATATGGGTACAGTAATTGGGGTGGTGAGTACAGCAGTGCAGGAGAGGCTAAAAGATGCTCTAAATTCAAATCTTAACAACTAATTTATTTTGCTAATGGCAGTTTAGAAAATTGGCAAATTTAAAATATTGGACAAACATCTAGACAACAGATGAAAATGTTTATTTGGTATTATGAAGATATCATCAAAATATGTATTATAATTTTCTTAAAAACCTAGCAAATTTTCTGTTAGAGAGTATATATATATTTCCCTTCTCAGGATCAAACTTGAAGCATATGTGAGACATGTGACATTTTCAAAATAGTCTTATCTGTCTGTAAACCCTTCATAGTTTATCAAGGGCTTACTCTTTGTTAGGTGCTGTAGGAGGTAGTAGGAATAGAGACAAGGTACCTGAGCCTCAAACATCTTACAACCACACAGAGGCAACAGGTAAGTAAGCAAACACTGCAGTGCAGGCAATGGATGCAGGAATGGAGGATG